ATTTCTATCTAATTTGGCTACCTATAACACCAGTTACGGCCTTTTCCTACTAAAGTTTAATTGATAAAATCTTATCCCAGAGACACTGTGACCCAGTTGTTACTAATGTGATAAAAAGGGTAAAAATATACTGCAGAAACAAAAGGGTAGAGCCCATCTTAGAGGACAGGGGAAACAAGAATGGGGAGGGACAGACACAAAAAATGGAGAGGAGGATTTAAAATGTTGTGAGTTTGGCCAAAAACAAAAACAAAACAAAAACAAAAACAAAAAAAAAAAAGCACCAAAAAAGCTATAGACTACAAAGATGGAGCTGAGAAGATCTCCATTGCCAAAAAGGAACCTAAAAATAAAAGGGATGGCCTAAGGACATCACAGGAGGAGACAGGTCTCCACCCTTTACAGCCTCAAAACTGCAAAGGTCAGGGACTTTGCCTTGAGGAAAAAGCCACAAGGCCCCCTGTTCCAAAATGACAGCGGCAGTTGCCCAATACAGAGCCACGGCTCCATACACCACAGCCATTTTAAAAACTATGGCTGACAATTAGCTTACTCACAAAGACTGGCAGACATTAGCCAGAGCCACCCTCTCTGGTAATGGACCTGTATGGGTTGCCATTAAAATGCAACCCATACAGGTCCATTACCTCTCTGGGGGGGGGATTATCTCCTATAAAATTCTTCCTATATACAGGGAAGCTTCCACAATGATAGCTTCACTGTTGATGTTAGATTTGTTACCTTCACCAGCTACAATCAAATATTTAGCTACAATAGCCCTATTTGCCCAAAAAAGGTACATGTGTTTATATGTGGGGGAAGTTTAGCCTTTACCTACCAACTAGATGGGACTGTGTGTCATGGCAATTGTATTGCCTGATATAGATGTCTTCTCTGGTAATGATCCCGTACCCCTTCCCAGTTTAGATTATGCTATGGGCCGCACAAAGAGGGCAGTCCAGTTCATCCCTTTATTAGTGGGGCTAGGAGTCACGGTGGCCATGGGGACAGGCACAGCAGGATTAAAAATAGCAATACATTCTTATACTAAATTATCTAATCAGCTGATTGATGATGTTCAAACACTGTCTGGTACTATCCAAGATATCCAAAACCAGATAGATTCATTAACAAAAGTAGTCTTGCAAAATAGGAGGGGCTTAGACCTTCTAACAGCAGAACAGAGAGATCTGCTTGGTTTTACAAAAACGCTGCTGCTTCTACACAAGTCCGATAAAATAGACTTCAAAAAGATCTTATTAAGAGGAAAAGAGAGCTATTTAAAAACCCTTTCTGGAGCATATAAAATAAAATACTACCCTACCTTCTCCCCCTATTGGGACCCTTGATTGGACTATTAATATTTTTATCAATAGGACCCTGTCTTTTCAATAGGCTGATGACTTTCATTAAACAACAATTGGATGCCATTAAAATGCAACCCATACAGGTCCATTACCACAGGCTTGAGATGGCTGAAAGGGAAAACTGCGCTGGAATACAACCAGCTTATGATGATGAAGGTTCGGAGACCTCTTAGTTCTCCCACCCTTGGTGAGATGGTCAGGCTAGCCAGACACGGGTAATGAGAGGCATACATGAGACACCACTCGCCGCCTAGGACAGGAATGGGACCTTTTGCTGTCCTAGTCTCCTATGATGAGTAAGGTTTGAGTCAGTCCATGGAGAGGACGCCTCGACCTAAGACAGGCACTGCCCCCTCAAGGGAATCAGCCCTCTAAAAAGCCATATTTTATATACATATATAAAAGTAATGGGGGATCTGTGGGAGGCTCAATAACTCCAGGCCTCCAATCCTACTGCAAGTGGCTTTCTGGGTTCCTCCTCCCCTACCTCTGCTGAGCTAGGTTCCTAGTTCTCACCCCGCCTATTTCCCATGAGTCTCCTGCTGTGTCCAGGAGGCAGGACTTCCCGTCATAGCCCGGTTGCCTAGTTATTCAGCTAAGCTCCTAATTCTTCTTACTCCGCCTATTTCCCATGAGTCTCCTGCTATGCCCCGGAGGCGGGACTTCCTCTCATAGCCCGGTTGCCTAGTTACTCAACTAAACTCCTAATTCTTCTTACTCCGCCTATTTCCCATGAGTCTCCTGCTGTGTCCAGGAGGCAGGACTTCCCGTCATAGCCCGGTTGCCTAGTTACTTGCGCCTTTTTTTACCTGCCCACCTCACTTCCGTAAGCCTCCACTATATATACCCAGCACCTCCCCTGAATAAAGGAGACTTGATCAGAATCCTGTCTTGGTCTCCATTTCTCGTGTCTCCTGTCCTCTGTCCCCTCCTCAATTCCCTGCTCCTCCCCCAGGTGACCTTCCTTGACTGACCCGCTGGTTCAGGACAGGATACTCCACCCGTGTCACCCAGCCAGCACCTGCTGTGTCATCCGAGGAAGCACGAACTCTGAACTGTAAAACTGGACCAACGGCAGCTACCTGAGGAAGCTGCCCACGGACCGTGCATGCCCGCTGCGTGGAGCAGGGCCTGTCGGGGCGGTGGCGCCCGATTCACTACCTGTCTTGTTTTCAGGGGAAAGGCCCTCCTGCATCTGTCCTGCAGATGGAGGTCACTGCGAGGCCAGCTGGGAGGCGCGCACAGGGATTAGGTCTCCTAGTGGGCAGAAGTGACCACTGTGGGGGAGCAAAGGGTCCAGTGGCAGGGTAAGGGGCGGGAGGACGCAGTGGGCAGAGGGGTGCTGGCCTCGGGGTCTCGGGGAGCAGGCTTGGGAGGTCTCCTCCACCCGGGCTTCCTGCCTTGCCCTGGGCCGCCTCCGCCCTCCGGCTTCCTCCTGGCTGCTCTGTTCCTCCGCGTGGCGTGGCCGCTGAACCTTCTGTTCCCGCCACTCCCTCTCCCTGCTCCCTCTCCGGCACGCCTGGGCTCTGCCCTGGACCAGCCTCCCCAGCCAGGCGGGTGAACCAGCCGCACATTCCCGTGCCGTGTCCCTCTGCCACTCTCAGGGCCTCTGGTCATTCGCCGCGAGCTCGAGGACCGCAGTCAGGGGTGCTTGTGGGGCTCGGGCCTCGGGGGCCTCCCGCGTGCGGGCTCTGGGTGGGGGTGGGACCACGGATTGAACTCAGGCCCTTGCGCTAGCCAGGGAAGCGCTTATTCCACCGAGCCGTCTCCCCGGCCCTTGCTGTAGGCACTCGCTAAACATTCATGGAAACAGAAGGACACTACAGCGCATCGGGGGCGGCCGGTGAAGTGCTTCAATGCCGGACGGCTTTAACTTCACCTGCCGGCTGCTCGCTGCCGGGCGCAGACTCGGGGTGAGGGGCCCCGGCCAGCTCCCCTCCTCTTGCCCCTGGAGGAAGCAGCTTCCTTTCTAGGACTAGACACTTTCAAGTGCTTCTCAAGCAGTAAAGTGTACACACGGTCTCAACGCGGAAATTCTGCCGCAGGGGTGGGAAGCGTCCAAGCCAGCAGCGCTCGCCGGCAGCTCTTCTAAAGCTGCGGCTCCCGGACGCGGGGCGCGGGGCGCCGGGCTCCCCACCCCGTGGTTTCTGCGCGTAGGACTGAGTCGCTGCGCCCTCTTTTGGCGACTAGAGAGCACGACAACTTTCCACCCGTGAGGAAAAGCTCGCGAGCGAGGAGTTTAAAACATCACATCCGTGGGCAACAAGATTTGCTACAAATAGATGGTCGCACGGTTCTAACAGAGGTGGACAACGTACTCTGAAGATTTCACCCTGAAAAAGATCCTTGCCCTCCCTAGGCAGAGGGATGTAATTGAAGGATGTGTGTGTGGGGGGTGGGGGGAGGTACTTGGCTACCGACTGGCTTTTCTATTTGCCTTTCTTTGGCTCCCCCTTCTTTTGAATGCAAAGACATCTCTTCACCAAGGCTGAATTAAGATTTTTGTCTGCCCCAGGCACGTCTGTCTTTGTGGGCCCCTTCCTTTAAATAAATTAATTAAAATCAAAATCATGTGCGCTTAATTGACATTGTTCAGGTTCCCCACATTGTCTTTTTCTTCTTACCCTCCCTCCTTCCTTTCTTACCTCTTTCTTGACAGGGTCTCACTCTATACCACAGGCTGGTCTTGAACTTTGATCCTTCTGCCTCAGACTCCCTAATCCTGAAAATAGAGGTACACGCGCTACCATGCCTGGCCTATTTTGTATAAATTGTGATAAAATAAATGCAACATAAAATGCATTATTACAGTCATTTTATTTATTTTTTATGTATTTAGTACAGGGTCTACAGAGTCTCACCACACAGATCAGACTCGAAGAGATCCTCTGGGTCGGGGCCACCACGCCAGAGCCCTGGGGCAGGGCCAGCACCGCATGCCTGAGATCCAACCCAGGCACCTGAGTCTGCCTAAACAGGCCCTTTAATCCGCTGAGCTGGCTGGCTGGCCCTTTATTCCAGTCGTTTTAAGTGCATAGCTCAAAGGTGTTAAGTACCTTCCTAATATTATGCAGACACCGCCACCTGAAACAGCACGAGTTGGTGTGTTCAACAAGAACTTTCCGTTCGTTCCCCTCAGTCCCTGGAAATCGCTGTTCTGTTTCATTTTCTTTTTGCAGTACTGGTGATTGAACCCGGGGTCTTCACAAAAGGATAAAGGCATCCTCAGCCGTTCCTCCCTTTGAGCCAGGGCCTAGCTATGTATTCCAGACTGGCCTCGGACCCGTAGTGATCTTTCTGCCTTCGCCCTTTACAATCTGAGATTACAGGTAGAGACCGCCATGCTTACCTTATTTTTTCTTTTATCGACTACACGTTCGATGTCATATGCAAGAAGACATTGTCCCATCCCAAATCATGAAGATTTTGCTTTATATTTTTTACTAACAATTGTATAGTTTCGGGTCTTACATTTAGGCCTTTGATTCATTTGAGTCAATTTCTTGTTTCTTCTTTTGTTGCTGGCAGTGGAACCCAGGGTCTTGCATACTAAGCTTGTGCTCTCCCACTGGGACCCCCTCTAGCCCTGCTCCAAATTAATTTTGTGTGTAGTGTTAGGTAAGACCCAGCTCTCAGCTCTATCCTTTGGTATGTATGGAACCGATTTTGCCAGCACCATTCGTTGAACAGAATGATCTTTCCCCATTCATTGGCTACCCGTGTCAGAAATCATTTGGAGCCAGCTGTGGTGGCACATTCTTGTGATCCTGGCACTCGAGAAGCAGAGTGAAGCAGGAGGATTGCTATGAGTTTAAGGCCAGCCTGGACTACAGAGAGACCCTCAAAAACCAAAACCCAAAACCAAACCAAAACAAAAAGTGATTTGGCTTTTTAATTTCATTTTGAACTGTAAGGGTATAAAGATGAACATATGAATACTATCTATTAAAACTCTCTTAACCTAGAAGTTTGCGTTTCTGATTTATAAAAGAAATTGAAGTGTGTAGATTCCCGACAATGTCGTGGCCCTCGGGTAACTGCCCACCTCCGAGGGGAGGCCTGCCTCCACACGGCCAGGGCACTTCTCCGTGAGCCTCCAAGGCTGTGTGGACGCCTTGATCGCTGTGTTGTACTGCAAGCAGATGACCGTATTGAACGCGCTGAGCAACTTGGGCATATGACATGCTGTGTTTACTGCGTGCTAAGCGCTTCCAACCCATCATTACGTTTCCCACAGCCATGCTAGACAGGAACTGTTCTCCACATTGTACTGGTGAGGAAAGTAGCTGGGGTGGCATCACCTTCTACATGTCACTGGCCTAGGTGGCAGCAGAGCTGAGATCTGGTCCCTTGAAGGCCACATCCTCGCTGCCGTGAGATATACCCCACAGTGATGTTCACCTGCCTGACTGCGCCCACCACTACGGGTGAACAGTCTGCGTGTGAGTCAGACTGCGACCACAGAGCCCAGGAGAGCAGGACACATTTGCTGAAGATACACGGATCCCAAAAGCCGGCGTAGGAGGTGGCGGGAGAAGGGGCACCCGGCCAGCAGAGGGCGGTGTGCAGCGAGACGGTTTTAGGAGAAAGAACGCCTGGTCTCTTTCTGCCGATGGTGCGCAGAACGTCCTCTCTAAGGGCTCGCCTGAGGGATTGGCCTGAGGCTTGGCGGCAGGGGCCGGAATAATTTCATTCTTTTTAAAATTTTTTTTACTTTTTCCCATAATTTTATTGAGAAATAAATAGCAATCAGACAGTTTCAAATCAAATTGGTAGGCAGTTCCAACAATGAACACATTGCATACTCTCTTCCTAGTGGTTATTTGTTGTACAAGATGCAGACAGGATATCCTATTTACAAACACTATTAGAACAACTCCCTCTATTCATTGAATTAACAGAATGCAGCTATATATCTATCCTAACCATTTTC